GGGTTTGGGGACAACAGATCATGGACTACCCACAGGCCTTACCCCTTAGAACATCTGGGTTTTACCTTCTACTATCCATATTTTTCACTGCTATTCCTTACAGCGTTAAGGCTTTCAATCCACCCCCTTTGCAGCCTTTAGCGTCCCCGCTTACAGAATTTCTTGGCCTGCCCTCTGATGTGACCGTATGCTCCTTTTCTTTATTTTTCTCCGTCTCTGTTGCCATCATTCCACCGCTTGCTAAGCCCTCTCATCCCCCAGACCCTCATGCCTCCCTCTCCCCTTTGATTTATCCCCTCATTATTATACCCTCTGGTTTGTGCTTCTGCCCCTCCTGACCCCTCCTGACCCCTCCTGACCCCTCCTCCCGCCAACCCTCATCCTAATGAACATATTATTTTGGCTCCTGTCATGCCAGGCTTATCGGATAAGATTGTATATATTCTCAAACCGTTCTCGTCTTGAGGATGTGCCGTCTGCAGGCTCATTTCCCAACACTGTGCCTGTCCAGTCCCTACCATCTTTCCCGTTCTCCTTTCCTTTTCTGCCTACCTGTACTGCCCCGCCAATTCCTGGTCCCCTACACTGGCACCACCCGACTCCTCGCATATCATCCCACCTACTGTCGGCACCCTGCGCACGTCTTCTCTCCCTGGCCTCCTTCCCCTTGCTGCCTCTGCCACCATTTGTATTCCCTTGTCGTCTACCTTTTATGCCATCTCCTCTCAGCTCCCCACCGGTACCCTTCTTCACCACCCGTAGCGCGTGTGTGCAGATGTGAGCTCCCTCCTTGCTCCATAAGCCGACCCCCCTGCTTGCTTCAGATCCTCCGCTCACCTGGCGCTGATCTCCCAGCTTGCTTCACATCCTTCGTTCGTTCTTCCCGCTAACCTGCAGTATCCCGTGCCCCAAAGATACGAGTCGGACTCCTTCCTGTCACATGCGTACCCTCTCACTGCGGCGTCACTCAGTGTATGCCTTGTTCCTTTTCCTGGTCCCCTTCCTCCCTGCGCCTCTTTTGTCACACTTTGTATATTACCCTTGTCATCTACCTCCACGCCATCCCACCAACTCACTGGTGCTCGCGCCTCAAAGGCACAGACATCTCCTATGTTTCTCCCAGTCTGTTCCCCTGCCCCTGCCTCATCCCCTGCCTCTCATTCCCATTTCCCTTTTCCTGGTCTTGTTTTTTTTCCACTGGTGATCCCCACCTCGTTGGCGGTGGGCGTCTGCTTGTTATTATCATTAAGTCCACAACAACAAGCAGCAGCAGATAGGGTCTCAGACACAAAACACACAAAGGGCAACAGAGCAAAACCGACAGAGTCTCGAACACACAGGCAAGTTGAACACAGCAAAACAGACTCAGGGCATACTCACACTTAGTCTAGGACTTTTTTACTTAGAGCCTCGTTCCACACCACTTGAGAACTCTTGAGTTTCAAGTGCGCCCTTATCACGAAATCGTGATTAATTTACATTACGCCGCCTCCTCGTTCCATGCACACTAGAGACCACACTTGAAAATGTTGCACTTGAAAGAAAACACCCTGGCTCCCTGTTGCGCGGAGACCTACTGGCGGCCATGCGATCCAGTAGGCCGGCACCCGGCCTTCAATATGTACGTCTGCGGTGTGCTGTTTGGGACTCGAGGGACCGCTTGGGGCAAGGTGCAGTGTGGGAGCGCGTATGCGGCAGATTTTCAAATTCGAAATTTGTTGGCGGTGCAGTGCGGCGCTCCGCAGCCTACAAAATTGCCACGCGCGTGGAAGTGGACACGGGCTTGTAGTGCACTTGGACGTGTGCGAGTGCGGTGGACACCGCCGCCAGTTTCCATTCGCCGGGAGGTGTTCAGTGCGCCGTGGGGCAAGCGAAGTGCCATAGCTCATCCATGGAGGATATACAATTTTCCTCCGTGTCGGCGGACGGCTCTGCGCTGCGTCGGCGAGAACTGTCCGAGCGTGAGAAACGGCTGGTGGTTACAGTGTTGCTCGCCGTGTCGACACATCTGCAGCACACAACGGCATTGCAGCGCGGTGCGGCGAGAAGAACAGGGCTGAAGATGAGGTGGCAGGTGTGCATAAAGCAATGGATCGTAACGGGGTGTATCCGATGGAAAACAACCCCCCCTGCCACCCCCCCAACCCCGTACATGAACGTGTCCGCCCCGTCGCTGCCACCCATCCCTCCTTTACACGCCGGACGCGTGCTCAATTTCGTCGTCTTCCGCTCGCAGGGCGCAACCCTTGTACGCCTCGAAGACCACATGTGCAGTATGAACAGCAGCAGCAATAGGAGGAGGAGGACACAAAGCAGCGACACCTTCCTCGCATGGTCGGCCATGCACGTCGCAGCACAGCGCAGACGACAGGAAACAACGATGGAGGTTTGCAGAAGCATATGCGAACACCAGTGCAGCAACCTGCAGCAACCGTGCTTGTCTTGTACTGCCATGTGGAGCTGCCACGGTAGAGCATCCCTCACCCAGAACAATCCATCCAACGGCTACGAGCAGCTGCAGCGCGCGACCGATTTGAAACCACCCCGATGACGGTGCACCGCGCGCTTCAATGGTCACCGCGCATGTGTGGCCCAAAGGCCTGCCGGAATGCGCAGCCACCACCGCCCACGATTCCACTGCTGGCACCCGGTACCTCCACCGGTAGCCGTTGCTGGCTGGACCGCAAAAAGGACAGGCCATGAACAAGGAACGTGTGGCGTTTGAAAAAAAACAAAAAAAAAAAAACAAAAAAAAACTGTACCCCCGGCTGAAACACAAGGGTAGCTCTTGGACTCAAGGCACCTCCAGGAGGTGACTTGAACTGAAGTGCTATTTTGCCTGGGCTGCACTTGACTTTCAAGAGCATCCACTTGAGATACAAAAATGTGAAAACAAAAAAGCATTTTCCTAGGGTGGGGTGGAACGACAAGTTTTCACGCCACACTTGAACTCAACTGGCGTGGAACGAGGCTCTTATTCATGGAGTCCGATGTGATTGCAGCCAGATGCATCCAGGTCTGGCCGTAATTCGGATGCATTTTGGAACGTGCTAGTGTGATTATGTCATCAGACTTTTGGACACACCCGCAACAGACCAAAGGGGACACACAGATGGCATTCTTCGGTGGAGAAGACGTGCCAACTGCGCCGTGATTGCGGCCAGATGCATCCAGGTCTGGCCGTAATCGCAGTAGGATCAATTTTGAGTTCTTGGACATGAGTCTGTTGACTCAGTGGCAAGTCAGGCCAACAGACGGCATTCGTCAGAGAAATGCAGAAATGTCAGACGGGTAGGTACTATGTGGGTCATTCACAAAATTTAATGCAGAGGCATTGCAGACAGGGGGGAAATCCAGGCTTGTTGGTTACTGTTGTTCAGAAAAAAAAAGACGAGGCTTGGTGATTAATATTGTACATACAACACAGTTGGCCGTTCTTCTGCTCTGGTGGAGACTTCGGTCATTTTATAGGTTCTATACGCCATGCAGGAAGAAGGCCACAAACAATGACCAAGAAGAGACCACCTCGTGCTCTTCCTGTACCTGTGCCCACCGCACTGTATACCTTTGAACAAGCCGGAAAAAAAAAAAAAAAAAAAAGATAAGAAACATCTGCAGTGTACTTGCACAATATCTGGAAACCTAAACACACAGTGGATATGCTGGAAAACAAAAAAAAAAAAAACGAGTAAGAAGACCACCACCTCCTCCTCCTCCTCCTCCTCCACAACGCTACTTGGGACCACTGCACTGTCTCCCCCTTTGAACAAGCAGAAAAAAAGACGCAAAAAAAAAAAAAAAGACATCGCCTGCAGCCTACCTGGAACCTAAGTGCAGCCTAACTGCATAAAAAAACATACACAAAAGCAATTGCAGAGCAATGATCATTCATGTGCAGACTCCTCCCTCCTCCTCCGGTACTTGTGCCCGCTGCGCTGTGCCTCCCTTTGAAAAAACAGACCAAAAAAAAAGACAAAAAGAAACTAAGACATCGTCTGCAGCTTTCCTGCAACCTAAGTGCAGCCTTGCTGCATTAAAAACATACGCAAAAGCAAATTACAGAGCAACCAATCATGCGCAGACTCCTCCTCCTCCGGTACTTGTGCCCACTGCGCTGTGCCTCCCTTCGAAAAACCAGAAACAAAATGACAAAAAAATGACAAGAAAAAAGACATTGAGTGCAAGCTAAGTGCAGCCTAACTGCATCATCAAAAGCAATTACAGAGCGCAATCATTCATGCGCAATGACAGAGCGCAATCATTCATGCGCAATGACAGAGCGCAATCATTCATGCGCATACTCACAATCATGCGCAGACTCGCAAACAGAGATGCAAAGAGCATACACAACACAAAATGCATACTAGCTTCTGCAAGAGGCTTGACAGCTAACAACCTGCACGCCGTGTAAAATGACCAATCAAATCTGTGCCCTCCATAAAGCCTGCCTCTAGACAAAACAAACCGGCACACACACGTGGCTCAGTTTCTTCTTCCTCTTCTTCTTCTTCTTCTTCTTCTTCTTCTTCTTCTTCTTCTTCTTCTTCGTCGTCGTCGTCGTCGTCGTCGTCGTCGTCGTTGTCTTCTTCAGGTGGATGCAGGAATGAGGTTTGCCCCTTGAGAAGCCTGGTGCGCAGCCGGGTGAAACGCGTCGGGGAATGTGCACGTTGAGCTGTTTACATCTGTGTGGGAGTTGTCTTGCTTAGCATCTGGACATGGACGCAATAGCCCTGGCCTCACTATTTCAATTCAATTCAATTCAAAAAAAATCTTCTTCTTCTTCTTCTTCTTCTTCTTCTTCTTCTTCTTCTTCTTCTTCTTCTTCTTCTTCTTCACTGGTGGCGGAGCATGAACTTGAAGAAAGCCCTCCACGAATAAAATACCACATCCTCCTCCAGTAATTGTTTCCAAAGAAGGCAACCTTTGAGCAATCCCTCGCTCGAGCATGCTCCTGCTCAATTCATACCGCAAAAAGTCAACTTTTGACTTTTGTCAAGGCATATTGCCCAATGCATACACACACTCAAGTTACTTAACTCAGTTAAGTTACTTAATTCAGTTAACTTCCTTAACTCTTCTTCTACGCCAGTGGCCGACGGATGTATCGCGCCAGAAGAAAGGACATAATGTGTAAGATTACATCCTCCGGTAATTGTGCCCAGCAAGTCCCTCTGAAGACGCAGCAAAAGAGTCGGTAGCGGCTCTGCATGATGTCCGCAAGCCTAGTCGGCCGAAGCCTGTACTTGGCAACACAGGCGTCGAAGGACGGACGATCTCTAGCGCAAAGTCTACTCAGAGATGCGGCAACAGGAAGTAGGTGCTCCACCTCACATCGGTCGGAGTAAGAAAGGCACCCTGGATTCCAAGAGGCAGCCTTTAGATCGTCTATCTCTGCTTCCATGTCCGATAGAGAGGTGCAATAACCCCTTTCTATAGCTTTTTCAATAGACCAGCCATCAAAGAGGGCATAGTTCCTTTTACCATGCGCGAAAAGGATCTCAACCAGAGTTTGGACGTCCCCGTGTGGCGTATATGTACTCTTGATATATCTGTTGTCGACTTCTACGGCTGTTAGTGGTTTGTCGCGATATGTTGCATTGCCGTTTGCATATCCGACGTGGATACCAGTTCCCCGCTCCATGATCTTAGCGAACCAGCCCCTCTCAACCCCCTCCTCCTCCTCCTCATCCTCGTCCTTCTCCTCCTCCTCCTGCTCCTCCTCATGATGATCATCGTTGTCCGGTGGCCAATGCCCTTCCCAGATGAGCATGCGCAAAGGACAGTTCAGACCGTCCGATCCTACCAGATCAAAATCGACCAGAAAGGCCAATAAACCCCTGTTAGCGACAATATGCCTGAAGTAGGATCGATCATAGAAGTTCACGCAATCGCTTTGACAATAATCATGCAACCGAATGGAGAGAGTCTCATCGCTCTCTGCGGTCACATCTTTTGCACCCCAGCGGTTAAAGAACCCCGACGCAAGCTGTGGAACATGATGGGAGACCAAAAAGCGTAGAAATCTAACAGCGAATTCCTTCTTCGTTCGGGATTTCGAATGGCATTGCTTGGCATCATCCACATGAAGCAATGCATCCAAAGTCAAGCACGGAACATTGTCTTCATCGTCTAAATAATCACAAGAATAATAGAAGCATTCACCATCATCATCGTCATCATCACCATCATCATCGTCATCATCGATATCCATGTGATTGCCCCGACCAACGGTCTTATTGTCATCCTTATCCTCGTGCTTATCCTCACCGTTCTCCTCATCCTCATGATTCAATTCATTATTGTAACCATCTTCCTTATCCTCATTTTGATCCCTACCTTTATCCTCATCCTCTTTCTCATCCTGATGATCCATGTGATTGCAGTCACCTTCATCCTTATCCTCATGCTTGTCCTGACCTTTCTCCTCCTTATCCTTCTCCTCATCCTCATGATTCATGTGCTTGTTGTAACCATCTTCCTTATCCTCATCCTTATGCTCATCTTGATCCTCACCTCCATCCTCATCCTCTTTCTCATCCTCATGGTCCATGTGATTGCCGTACTGATCATCCTTATCCTCATGCTTGGCCTCACCTTTCTCCTGACTTTTCTCCTCACCATTCTCCTCCTTATCCTTTTTCTCATCCTCATGATTCATTTGATTGTTGCAACCATCTTCCTTATCCTCATCTTTATCCTCATCCTCTTTCTCATCTTCATGATCCATGTGATTGCTGTAACCAATCTCATTCTTATCCTCATGCTTGTCCTGCTCACCTTTATCTTCGTCCTCATCCTCATCCTCGACCTTTCGATCCTCCTTATCCTCCTCCTCCTCCTCAGCCTTCTCCTCCTCCTCATCGCCATCATCCATGGAATGGCCATAACCATCCTTATCCTCATCCTTATCCTCTTCTTTATCCTCAACTTTATTTTTATCCGCCTCCTTAACCTCCCCTTCCTCCTCATCTTCAACCTCTTCATCCTCATCCTCCTTATCTTCTTCATCCTCCTCAGTCTTATCTTCCTTCTCTTCCTCCTCGTCGGCCTCATCGTCATCCCCATCCTCCTCATCCTCATCCTTCTCCCGATACCGTTTCAAGAACTTGGTCACGAATTTCTTCGGCGCATTGCTGAGTGCTTCAACAACTGTCTTTGAACAACTGCCCTCGTTTGTCAAAAATTCTGTGAATTCTGCGCTGAAGTCCTCGACACTCTTTACCATGAGATGAATTCTACCGAGGGCCTCGATAAAACCCAGGAACAATCTGACATACGTGCAGCAGACATCCGTCTCCAGACGAGCAAGCTGACGTGGCAACACGTGCAACTTCTCAAACACACTCCCCTGAAAAGCTGTGCCTAAGTCCAGCACCATATCCTCATCCTTATCCTTATCCTTATCCTTATCTTTATCTTGCAGCCATTGTTGTCATCACCATCAAAGCTGATGTCTTGCTTCGCACTCCCATCATAAGAGCCACCAAAGTCCAAGCGCGCTTTCTTTATCGGCTGTGGCATTAAAGCTATGGGACGCTGGGCCCTGGTTCCCAGCACCTGCTGCTCCCCCCCCCCCCCCACGAATAGACCGGACAGAACCTTGCGTTTTCACCCTCTCTCTCTCTCTCTCTCCCCCCCTCTCTCTCCCCCCCCCCCCCCCGCCCACCCCCCCCCTCCGATCCCGACTCCCCCACCCGCGCCCCCTTTTCCTCCAGCCCCCCTTATCCCACCCC